GCGGTCAGTTAGCTGTTGGCTTGGTGTCATAAGAGGGGTGAGCATGGTGTCGAGGACGTTATGCCAGTCCAAACCCACTTCAAATACACCAGCCGTTGGTGGAATCAAGGTGTGCACGTTGGCAAGCTGTTGCCCGAAGATTCGGAGCAGCCTGTTAGGTTGGTATCTAGTGGTAGGGTCTGTACTTCTGGGAGTATTAGAAGGTGGACGACTACCCGAGGGCCTATGGGGCGCTAACCTACCTGATTGGGGTCGTTCGCCTGGAGCACTGGCGCTTGAAGCAGCCTGCAAGGCCCACCACGTGTTGTCTAGCTCCTGTGGAGCGTGCGTCACCGGCTGTCCGCCCTTACCATAAGGGTAAGCAGGACGTGGTCGCCCTCGGTTTCGGGGACATGTGACCAGTCCAGGTCGTAGACACGATCTCTTGCTTCGGGCTCGTTCTCACGATCCCACTGGGCCCTACGAAGACGAAAGGACGTCAAATGCCTGTGAATGAAGGGACCGGGCGTCAAATTAACTGGTCTTCACTTGTGGCGCCGAAGGAAGTGGTGCTCTCAAGGTCTGGTTGGTCTTGATGAGGAGCAGGCGCCCCAAATGGGGCAGCCTCTTGCTCTGGTCTATCTTCCTCTTCTTCTACCTCGACATCCTCCTCCTCTTCGGGGAACTGCTCGCGTTCACCCTGAAGGATGTGCCCAAGCAGCCCGTTGAGGGCAGCGCCACCCAAAGCACTGCTGGCGCGTGCTTTAGCAAGTGCGAGATCAGTGCTATGCGGCGCAAGCGCCTGATCTTGGCTGTGCATGACGGACATGTCAAGCTGCGCACTATCTGGCGGTGCATGTGGGACAAGATGGGACGGTCGAAGAATTGGAATCTGTTCCGGATTGCTTTTGATCCACTTAAGTATTACCTCCCTTAACGGGCCGCTATAACTATACTCACTTGGACCGGGCACATCCAATGGCTCATATGGACCATACGGGACCGAAGGGGGTGGCTCAGTCGGTACAGTATAAGCCGGACAATCGTCGGACTCTTCCTGCGGCGGCAGGGGAGCCGGCCCTTTTGGGGGCGGTGGCAAGCGAAGCGGCAATGACGGCTTCGGCACCTCTACAGACACACCTCCTGACTTGACCTCCACAGACTTAGCGACCTTACGGGCTACCTTAGGTGGCGGATTAGGTGGTACAGGCTTAGGGATAGGTGTCGAAGTGCCCGCGCCAGAGGCTGCGGCTTGCTTGCTCTTGGGTCCGGCTGCTTCGGACTTGGGTTTGGCGGCTTTCGCCTTTGAGGCCTTAGCTTCAACCTCGGAACGAGGGGTTAAGACGACTGCAGACTGACCGCGATCCAAGGTAGGACGCCAGGCAGACCCGGCTGCGGTAGAGCTGGCAGAAGCCGCTGAAGCTGTAGTGACCTTAGGCGCAGCCGATCGAGATCGATCGGTGCGAGGCGGAGCTGCCGTTGACGCCTTTGGCTCGGAGTTGAACACTGTACGAGGAGGCGCAACCTTGGTCTCTGCAGATCGGACGCGTCGAAGTGGCACAAAGGGGTGGTCTGATGACCAATGCCCCTTGGGCAATCGGTAGCTTGGTTGGGGTGTTCCTTGAAGGAACGCGGGGTTGATCGAATAGAGAAACTGCCACAACTCGGGGAGGATCGTGGCCCATCGGAGGATGGTGTCCTCGGGCAGTAGCTCACCCTCAGTGTCAAACGCCCCGGTCCGAGTGTCTCAAGACGTATTGAAACCACTCTGGGTATTGCTTCCTTGCTACGTGGGAAGGGATTAAAGGTATAGGTTGAATCGACGGCCGAACCGTGCATATGTCGAATCCCCAAGTTGTGCACGGATGTACTCACAGGTGGTGCCATATATGCTAGGTTTTCACGGCCCGGCTGATGTTTGACACCAGCCCGACAACCACGCCTTCTGGTTCGGTCTCTTCCCTCCGCGCTTGAAGCAGCGGCTCCTCCAAACTCACCCGTCCCCTGTGGCCCACTGTCTTCGACGTTGGCAGGCTCGGGCTCAACACCAGCTTCGGCTGCGGAGGCCTCCAACGCTGCCTCGAGCTCGCACTGCTCCTGAATGCGCCGAGCGATCGACTCGTGTTCCTCTTCCAAGGAAGACTCGTCGTCGTCACCAAGAGGGTCGAAAAGGTTATTAGTGGGTATAGGTGGACTTTGGGGAGTCGAAGAAGCTTGCTCAAGCAAACGTTCAGGCGGCACGAACACCTCTTGGTCCTCTTCGGCAGGGATCGGCTGATCTTGCTCTGCTGAATTGGGGGGGTTTCGTTGGTCGGTGGACTCGGCAGTTTGGTTAGCTCCTAACGAATGTTCGACCACGGGGGTCTGATGACCTTGGTCCGTGGCGTCGGCGTTAGGAATGGTCTCACTGTCAGGGTCTACAGGCACCGCGCTTGGAGCACCGGCGCCCTCTCCTGACTTGTCCTGATCCTCCAGGTTGGCTGGGCCTGCAAAAGGTTCTTCAAGCTCGAGTTCCCGATCCTCAATCTCGAATGTCGACATTGGGAACAGGGTGGGACCAGAATCGGCTTCCGATGCGGCGCTGGCCCGTTTGGAGCTGTCAGAACCCGCGCCTGCGGCAGCGGCTGGGGGATCTTGGTTGTCCACAAAAAGGTTCAAAGCATCAACGGCCTGAGAACCAAGTTCAGTCAAGGACGTGACCTCCAGTTGGTCCTGCCCACCTACCCCTATAGCGGATCCCGCTTGGAGCAGCGGCTTGCGCTGGTCCAGGATCGGGTCTTTGGCTGGGGGGGTCACTACTTAGTGCTAGCGAATCCGCGCCGGAGGCAGCGGCTTGCGCTGGCTCGGCCTGGGAATTGCGAGGAGGTGTAGCCCTTGGCATTGGGACTAATGGAGGCGGACTATTAGAGCTCGTAGGTTGGTTAGACCTACGGCTGATAACCAATGAATTTGCTAAGGACTCCGGGATATCAAGGAATAACCACCACAATCTATTGATGGGGAGGGTTACCGCAAGATACGCAATGGAGTGGATGACCCGCTGGCGGGTCGGCACACGACGGGGGGTGTCGGAACACTTGGTACCCGTTGTGTGGTTGGAGGGCGTGCGAACGAAGGGAGCAAGTTACGGCAACCGAGCGAATGCGGCACGGCGAGCGAAGCGACCGACGTGCGCGGATGCTGAAACAAACGCGGACGCGCCTGTTTCTTGAGCCATAACGGGCATCGAGTGAGACGAAGTTCACGGACGACAACCTAGACTGTACATGTGAACCTGCATGACAAGTTAGGGGTTATCCATGCTTCACAAACTTTGACTTATATACCGTATATTCAGAACATTGGGGCAAGCTCACACACTCTAGACTCTACACAAGTAATGCCAACTTACCCCTTTACCCGCGGCAAGAACCTATCGCCTTCACCCCAGGTGGCGTCTCGGAACAATTCTGCCAGCCCCATCAATTTTTGATTTCACCAAAATTACAAACAGCAATACTTCACCAGATGCCCACACGACTTCTTCAGCCACCTCACCGGCACTTCCAAGCCTACATTTACCACTTTGCAAAGGCGAAAGCGCCAATTCACAAGCAAAGACAATGCACTGAGAGCATAATTTCTGGTGCACGACCAAAGCACCAACACAATGAAGGCATACCGGCATACCATAATGTGTGCGTACGTACATGAATCTGCAATGATCTCTGATGCAAATTGACGCGGAGGTCTCTCGGTACCACACTGTTTGGGGATAACGAACTTTCAAAAACCCGGGTTTCAAACATTAAAGCGGGACCCATTTCGGCACGACATCCTTTCCTGCATGCGAGACTCAACACAAGCACCAATTCAAGGTATCGACAACGGCAAGACTTGAACGTCCATCTCGTGGGTTTGGGCTCCGCTGGCCACTGAAAATTCAGAATCAGATTCGGTGGCCGCGTTTGCCTCCGAGAAAACCAATGTTTTTAGATGAAATTCGGGGAAGGTAACTCACTTCTTCCTTGGGGAGGTGGACGAAAAGTGTTTTGGAGTGTGCGCGTTCAGATAAAAGGCATGTTTATGTGAGCGGCGCGATGCGAGAGGAAACTTCTGGTGCACCTTCAGCCTGCGGCGCTGCATCAAAACAGAGTTTGAAGTTCCCAATCAAGTTTGCTACTACCATTAAGATCTACATCAGAGACGGTGTCACTCACTTGAGCGGGGAAACACGAAAGGTAGAGACGGACCGGGTAGCTGTCGGGACCTTTTCTGGTGAGGGACTGTGTCCGGTGTGGCTAAGGAACGTTTCCTTTGGCCAATCATGGAAAATCTCACCGCTTCTAGCTCCCTCAGTGTGGGATGACCTCTTTTCGCAATGTTTTCTACCCGAACTCACAACCCAAGTAAGTGCACACTAAATAGTCTCCTGAGCACTTCGTGATGCTAATGATGCACTGTTCATTTGCATCACTCGCATCACCAAGACCTTAAAATATACATGTTCATACCCACTCCGGCCTAGCCTATCCGCTGGCTTTCATAATATACATACTGTAATAGTTATATAGAAACTTTTTGCGGCAGCCTTGCCAAAAGCCTTGGGTGGGGGCTGGAACTGAAAATTCAAGGGGAGTCTTACCTCGGAACAATTTTTTGTGGACTTGGATGGAATCTTCAGGCTGTGCAAAAGACCTCCTAAGTGGAGAATCAGAAATTTTAAAGATTGGGTGGTTTCAGATTGTGGCCAAATTGCGGAGAAAGATCTAACACAAAAGTGATTGTAATGATCGAGGAGTGCATAAATGGAGCGCTAAATCCGCGCAAGAGCTGCAGGAGTGGGTTCCGGACAATTGAAAGAGTGCGAGGATGACTGGAAGTGCAAAGGTGCAAGGGTGCAAGGGTGCAAGTCCAGTCGACTAAACACAATTGCAAGACATTGTGGCAAGCGAACCTAGGCAAGTTCACAAGCGCAAAACACCCTCCCTTATCAGAGGAATCCTCCGTCAGGTCCGCCATGCGAATTCCTGCAGGAATTCCTTGCCTCGCCCCCATGAATTCGTGCGAGCTCAGCCGCTTCGTCAGCCTTGTTATATATTGTGGTGTCAACAAAAGTGTCAACAACACACAAGACATTTTTTCTTCAGAAGAAAGCTGAGTCTTCCACAAGCTTCTTTAGATGCCGCCTCAGTTTTCATCTCGTGTGTAAACAATGTTCATTGCTCTCTGAAAACGCCTGGCTCCAGAAACATTGCCAGGGTCAAAGGTTTTGCCATCCTGGAGTCAAAACGGGATCGAATTCACAAACCAGGACCTTGCCTCAGCCTGAATGATCACCCTGACGTGCCGGCCGCCTCACAGAGACACCAAGCAGACCGCAGCAAAAAACGAAGCGACGAAGCACTGCTTTTCCTGCCTGGAGCAGCCTGGACTCGTGTGCCAGGGACGTTTTCATATTTGGCCTTGACATGAGCGAAAAAGATCTTTCTTCATCTCATCTGTCGAAGGCCTTTGTCAATGCGACGTTGCAAGTGCGCAAACCTGAGAGGCTGCATGACAGTATGTAGAATGCAAGAGAGAAGGGGTTTTACAGTCTGTCACTTTGGCCCCGGTACCAGTGAGGCAAATACCTTTCTTGCGCTGTGAAGGTCGATCATCTATAATGTAGTCTCGCTTTGCCTTAGGCCTCAGCGAAAGAGAACTGCCACAGTGGCAGTTCTGGGCCGAAGAAAGATCGGAGTCTTGCACTCTTCGAAACCATGCCACTCTTTTCTGGTGGTTAACTGTTAGCTGCTCCTTGCTGACTAAAAGGTGGCGCTCAGGAAGTGGCAGCATGCGCACCTTGATTTTGACACCCGTACTGCACAGAATGTGCAAAACTTGATGGGCAATACTTCATGCAGTTGGGCTGCAGTGCGAGACTTTTGTGCCTCCCGCTTTGCAGTTGAGCGCGGTTTCTTGGATCCTTTCCCAACCTCCAAAGTCAGTGTGCAACATACACTAGCATGTTCAGAGTTGCTTCCATTTGGTGCTTCTCAGACCTTGCAATGTATTCAACATCATTACTGAAACGTTTTGAAGGCAGCTGTTGCTCTGGTGTGGGTACTAGCAAAAAGGTGAGCTTCAGACTTTGCGCGCCATCGGTTCGGCAGCCACTTATCTGCTGATACGCTTGATAACGGTACATTCAAATGTATCATTTCAATCTGTCAACTTGAATGAATCATTGCTAGCCGATGCATCAACCAAGACATCAGATATTTGAGCCAATGCGGCTTCAGCGAAATGGTTAGAGCTCTCTTTGGGACTTCTTGTCAGGTTGCTCTCTGAGGGTCTTTCTGGAATATAGCTCCGAGGTGCCACTGCGGCCGCAACCTGAAATGTTGCTGGTGAAGCCTACATCAAGAGTGCTCATCTGATCTCTTTCCTTCTCTTGGGTTGCACGTGCACTGCAGGCAAATATTGAACTGCAAGCTACAAGCCTATCCGTCACAAGCTTCCAAAACAAAATGACGTGGTCTGTGCAAAACAGCAAAGGCAAAAACTCTGAGTGGATGACCGCTGCAACTGCTGCAACTGCAGTCAGCCTGCACACACCCTTCATTGAGCCAGAAGGCCTTCTGTCAGAGACACGTGCTGGTCAGCACTGCCCAGCGTGTGCACAGCTGGCTCAACGGCAAAAACAGTGTATATATATATATATAACTACATATATATATATATATATGTTCAGTCTTTCAGCAGTTTTGTTTGTTCTTCTCGCATTCCCGGATGTGTACAGTGGACTGTGTGAAGCACAGCATTTGTGCACTCCACCAAAAGAAATGCGGGTCAAGTCAGAAATAGCCGAATCTCTGTCTGCATTGTGCTCACAAACCTGAAAGAAATCGTGGAAAAGGAGTTCAGGACCAAACCATCACGATGCATTCTTGCCTAAATCCACGCTGTACATGCAGTGTCTGTCACTTGAGAATAGGTAGAACTCACCAACGACACACCTACATCACTGCTTCTGTTTCATCGTCCACGTGGACCCTGGACAACTAGGCATTTGTGTGAAATCCACGTTATTGCACAAAATCCACCGTGTGTGTCCCACACTCGACAAAGCGCACCACATTGGAGACCCTGGAAGGCAGGGGTCAACTTCATCCACAAGTGCCCCTGACAAAGGAAGTAACCAAAAAGTTCTGATGTTCAACGATTGATTGAACCAACAGTTTCCCGGTTAGCTGGTTTTCCTTCAGAATCCTTCATGTGTCTTATCTTTACATAACTATATATATATATATTTGTTCAATACCCTTGACTGTCATTGTTTTTGAAAATACTTTTGTGTTTCTTGGTCCCTTCAACCCTTTCATGTTCCTTTCATTCAGGTTGATCCTTTCATGTTCCTTTTATTTCCTTGCCGTTCATATATAGTCCTTCCATTTTCCTGGCTACCCAGTTGAGCAAACGGCTTCCCGCTTGAGCGGTCTTCCTTTAAAGTATTTTTTAAATGAAGTTGTATCTCAATTGAATTTCTTTAAAGAGCTTTAAAGTCTCAGCATTCTCCTTTCACTATTCTCGTCTTTGGCATCTTTGCATGTGACTCAATTTGTCCCACTTACCTGATTGAATCGGCGGTTTCCTGATTACCCGGTTGAAACGGCGGTGTCCTGCTTGTCCGGTTTTCCATTGAAAGTCGAAAGTCAATTTGCATTCTTTCATTTTGTGAATTATGTATTGTCATGTCACCTCTTTTTGTTCCCCTAACCCCTTTTGTTGCAATATGTTCTTATTGTCCTTCCATTATGCGCGGTTACCTGGTTGAACCAGCGGTTTCCCGCGAACTGGCCAAACCGAGTAACTCTATCTGGTTGAAGGGGCTGGTTCACCAGTTTCTCGGTTCCCTGCTGCAAGCCGATCTGTGCCCGGCTCGCACCTCTGGTGATGTGTGCGCGGTATCCCACTTCGCACTGGTGGTTTCGTGATGTGATATAATGCGATGCCCTTTACTACTAGTAGCATTCTTGCTCCTAGTAGTAAGGCCAGGAGCCCCTGGTAGCGCTTGCTCCTAGTAGCGATGCCCTTTGCTCCTAGTACCGATGCCCTTTGCAGTTGGCGATTTGGTGGGAATTAGTGAAGTGCGTTTTCACTGACAGGTGAAGTGAGTCGCGCGAGCAGCATACAGTGGTGGGTCTTTACCAGGGGGTTGAAATGGCATGCTGCTTCCACGGTCTTCCACTGTTGGTGTCGTGGAGATTTAAACTGCTGGAAGTTGTAGTTTCTCATCGTTGGAGAAGGGATGCTTTGCAGTATGTTATGCGCCAAAACGGCTGATGTGTGTGTGTGTGTGAGAGAGAGAGAGAGAGAACATTCCACTTGATGTGAGGCAAACTCTTCACGTGTGGGTGGAAGCGTTCTTGTCTCTCTAAAAACAAAATGCAAATTGAGCAACTGGACGGTGAAGCTCGCTGGCAACAACTGTCTTGATGATTTTCTTCAGGGCTTTCCATCAGATGCGAGAGTTTTGAGCAGCTCAGCTCTCCAAGACGAACCTTCTGAAGCAACAGTCGCCTTCCACGCCGCTTTTGCCAAAGATTTGGCTGCAGATTTTCGCCCAACTCCAGCAGCTCTGCGGAAGGCACCAAAAAAAATCAAGGACAAAGCTGCAGGGTTTCCTGCAAACTCCTGCTCTATCAAGTCGGTTGTCTCTCGAAGTCCATCTCGCATGTTCATTGATTCAACAAAGTCCTCCAAGCCGTCCCTCTTGGCCTCATTTGGACCTCTCATTTGAGATGCCTCGGCACTGATTCGAGACATCTCCTCCTCTTTTACTTCAAAAAATAATGGCATTCGCTTCTTCAATCTTAGCAAAATCACACCATCTTCAGAATCATTTGTTGCAGTTGCATGGTTTCTCGCCTCATCCCGAGAGAATGCTTCGCAAAGTTGCGATAGCCTTTCTCGCCGCCAATCACTTTCACTCTGAACCCGAGAGCACGCTTCACACAAACAGTCAAAGCCAAAGCGATCGCTTAATTCTCCCAATCTTTCGCGCGTTGGAGCACACAAGTTTAGAAAAGACAAATAGGAAATGCATAGTTCTTCTCCCTCGGAAATGTCTCGAGTCGCCTTCAAAACTTGAACTCCTCTGTCTTCCTGCCAGCTATTGTGCACGTTCGGCTTGCAACTGTGATTAAACCTGGATAAAAGCAAAAACAATCCGGCCGACTCATCTGATAGTCCAATCGCATTCGTGCGAGCTATTCCAAGAGCAGTCTTGTCTTTTGCACAACATGTGTCTGCCAAATCCCAGAATTGGGCACGGACTTCTTCATCACATTTGCTCTGCAAAGTTTCAGTCAAACTCTCTTCCCAATGGTCGAAAGATGTGTCATCCACCAGTACATCTTGCAAATCCCCAAACAAAACATCAAAAGATTGCTTTTGAAAAATCAACAAAGGGGCTTCTTCAAGCAAGAGATCTCCACACTTGATAGATGATGTCGCAATCACACCCAGCCCCTTCTTCCCCACTGCATGGACTGAAATTTTGTTGCTTTTATAGTCAATACTGTCAACAACATCATTTTGCCTTCTGTAATTTCTCGCTTTTGCCTTTGAAACCTTGCTGACATCGGATCTTCTCCGAACGACCCTGCATTGCAATTCTCTTGCAGCTGTTGCACATGAAAGAACTTGGAGATGACCCCAGGATCTTTGGAGCCTGCAAGGTTTCCCAATTTTCGGAGCACCAAGAACTTGCAAAGGCAGTCCGCTGTGAGAGCTCTGAGAACTTTGAATAAAGCAGTGAAGTCTCATCTCTTCTGTGGCTCAAACGTAGTTGAGGAACAGTTGAAACATACCTGCTGACTCCCTACCCTACACACTCACACACGCACACATACTATAGGAAAGAAAGACTCAAGTGGAAGAAATGCACATTCCCTTTCCCTTTCATGCAAAACGCTGCTGCCATTCTATATTTTTAGATGCTTGGGCCTTGAACGGCTTGGGCAAGGCTGCAAAAGCTGTCAGGTGGGATTATCAACCGTCTGACAGTATGACTGCTGTAACACAGAGAGGCCAGCAACACCTTCAGGAAAAATCCAGCCAAAGAATAGAAAGGGCAAAAGCACCAAGCGATGCGTGCACAGAACAAACAAAGTAAGCAAGGCCAGCATCAGGAACGATTGGAAAGCTGGCATCTTGCTGGAGACACACAATTCCAGGCTATCATTCCAAGCTGTTTCTATCTAGGCTACATGTTGTTGCTGCCGATCTCAATGACTCAACCAGCCAAACGTTGTGGTGACCCAATTGAAAGTGGAATAGTGGGATAAGTGCCACGACGGATACTTTTCCAGCGAATTTGAGACGGAGGCCTTCAGCCTGTACAAACCCACACGGCTAACGGATGCCAACTGCATTGCTTGCTGAAAGGAAAACATTGGCACCCAACGGTTCGTTGGGACATGCGTCATCCCACTTGGGTGGGTGCGCTGAGAATAATCACTGGGGCTTTCCTTAGTTGGGCCACCTAAAATACCTAAAGACCAGGATAACCAAAACCAGTAAGAACTGATGCAGTGTGCAGCCAAAAGTCTTGCAATGATAGCATTGTAGTGGATGGGCCTTGGTTGTGAACTGATGCAAAACACATTTACAAAGGTTGCTTGGGCGGTCATGCTCTTGGAGAATTTACAAGCCCCAGCAAGTCAAGATACGATATGTAGGCCAAGAAAATTTGCTTCCTGGCAATGGAAGCATCATGCAAGTCCATCATGCAGCAATAGTAATTATTGCTTAATTGCTTGAACTGCTATCAAAGTCATGCAATGTCCTATATCACATCGAGCTGCGCTCCGGTGCATTCCGCAAGCGTCTCGATATATATTTATATATATATACATCCGCAAACAGTGTGTAACACCAAGAAGGTCTATTTTTGCAGTAGTTCTACAAGGGCCTCTTTACTGGAACAGTTTGTTCTGGGCAAATACCTCGTGCTCTCTTTCAGGGAACATCTGCACAGCCAGCATGTTTTGAACTGCATGAGGGTACTGTATGCTGTTTGGTGGACCGTTATTAAGGCACGAACTGAAACTGCTTGTCCTTTGACGCCCGACGTCCATTTGATGTCTTTTGTGATCTTGTTCGATTGGACAAGCACAGTAGAAACGTAAAGAGTGCTGAGTGATGCCGATGTTGTGGAGAGTTTGCGGAACAAGTCCTGTCCCACAAGGGTGAGTAGCCCCCACAAGCGTCAGACCTCAATGTTTGGAAAGGATGTGAGTTACGTGCGGGTAGTACAAATTGTTGGTTTAAAGAGAACCGATTTTGGAACAGCTTACCATGTAGACTCTTCAGGTCCTTCCTGGAGGTCAAGTTTTCCTAAAAATCTAGGAATCAAATCATTAGTGTGAGCTCTTCTTCAAGGAAGCTCCTCTCAGACAGGGAAAGCTTCCTTGAAGAAGCATGAGCTAATGTGAGTAAGGAGGCAGGGCCACGAGAAAAAAAGAAAAGCTCTGCCTCAACGTCCAACCACTGCTACAGCTGGCGTGGGTGGTCTGGGCGTGGGTGGTCTGCCCGTGTGTGTGCGCTGTGAATACTGAATCTTTCCGAGTGCGTTGTGTTGCATGAATCTCCTCAAGTGTCTGCCCACTACTCTAGCAGAAAGAACCGAGTAACGCAGCATGCCACTAGTGCCACCCACATGTTACATGCGGAGAGTGCAAATCACGGTGGAATGGCGCATTCTGAAGACAAATGCCAGAAGCAAATCCAAAGTACACAGGAAGCACACTTGGAAACACTGCACCTTCTGCTAAGGCAGCAAGGTTTGACTGCTGGCAAAGTGGTCGGTCTCGGACTTGAGGTGGTAGGTTCATACTGATTCATACTGCTGGTGTTTAGGTGGCAAGTACATTGTGAGAGGTGGTGGAAAAGGTATGTCCTTCCAGAAGTGGCATCGATCACCGGATTTGGGAAGATCAAAGATTCGTCATAGCTCCGCAAAACAAGTTCAAGGTGCTCTTCGGCTAGCCTTCGCCAAACTGCGGCAACCACACAAATCTCCAAAGCGCGGCAACTCGCACGAAATCTGCACTTCAAATCAAAATGCATCCGATCTCCAGCACGTGACACGGTCGCAAGAACCTTCCAATCCGAAGTCTAAATAGGCACCAGACATCTGGGAGAACTCGATTTGCAGATCCACAGTATTAGTTGGCTCGTGCCGCGGTGCAGCGCTTTGACCTAGTTCACGTTTTTGCAGAGTCTTGTAGAGAGAAGAAAGAAAGTGTGAAGTTTTCCACAGCAGTCCTGGCTTTCGGGGGATCCATGCCAAGTGGGCAAACTGCTATCGCAGAGTCCATGTCGGAGCTTTCAGGCTCATAGACCAAGTGCCTTGGAGCAACTCAAAAATGCGTTGGTGTATCTATGTAAGCATGTATTGTCCATATATATATTATATATACATATGTGGCAGGGACCTTTTGGTAACATTTCGTTGCGGATGAAAAGCACCGGCACATTTCTCACTAGCGCGCACAGGTCTCATTTGCCCATGCCACCACGCACAGGGGAAGGAGAAACCGGACGTCGCGGGTCCTTAGATCGGTTTCTCACTGTTTTTCATTGTTCAATTATTGCACATGTATATTGGGAAGCATGCGTTGCAACTAATGAATCAGCCAAAGCGTCGTCCACTGATCTCTGGCCTGTGTGAAAATTCTCCCAGTAGAACACTCCTGGCTTTGCGCCTTGGATACAAGCGCTGATGGCTGATGGTTCCCGAAGCCTAGAACGGTTGGCATGACGTTCAAAAGCTTGTTACGCTTTTCAAAAGAGTACGGCCGCTTTTGCGTTCAAGCCAGGCTGCGGCTTTCGATCTTGCGCCAGCTCAAGTTGTACGCCTTTTCCTCACAAAGGTACCGATTGAAAAATCTTTTCGATAACCATCAACCGGATTGATTCCCGCGCAGATATGAACATAGTGTTTGGTGAATTCAATTCATGAGTGGCTTCGTGCCAAAACAAATGAGGCTCCCAAAAGCCACGTGATCATACGGTTGAAAGAGTTAAAAGAATGTCTCCGTCATTTTCGCATGCCAATCATCCTTGCGTCTTTGCAACGCGTCGAACCATCCTTTGGAAGGGACAGAGGCCTCCACCATTTCCTCAGCGTGCAACTCTGAAACGCCCAGGGCGCATTGATTGAATTGTTTGTCCATGTCGGGCCGCCAGAAATATGTTGATTTGAGCGTTAAACAAAAGTTCCTGCAACTCCGTAACTTGCCCGCAATTCTGCCAAATCTGAGACCCTGGCGTGCCATCTGGGCTTGAAGCCCCTGCCAGGTGGTGCGGATGTAAATGGTCTACGCAGGTAAACTGTAAAGAAAGAGCCACTCTTGCAAAGCAATACATGTTCTTTTTGGTGGCTAGAATCAGACTCTGCTCCACATGGATTGTGAAACTAACAAGCGCAAAACACAAGCCAGAGCACAAACCTATGTACGTTTTTGTTGAAGCATCAGCTTTCGTAAGCTCAACAAATCATATGTTTCTATGTTCGCTCGGCACCATAGTTCTAGTTTCTCTTTGGAGCGGCGTCCTACACCACCGGAGTATGGATTTCGTCGCCCGACTCACCTTTCTGCGCCCGGAATACAATCCGACGGGTCACGAAAGCATTGTCTCCCCAACGACGCACTGGCCTTGCCACCGTGGACACCATATACATCGACGGGTCCCGTAGCTCCTGGATGGGGCAACCACATACCATGACTTACAAAAAAGAATAAGCATGAATAGCACGTATATTGTTGATGCTTTGACAGTTTGCATGGCTTTTGAAGAGTTTGTTTGCTTTTGTTGTGTTTACTCTTCTTCACACTCCGCAGACCTTCGCAGGACAATGATACTTGGCTAAGATCCTTTATCTAAGCTTACTGTTCTGCTTCGACTCTTCACCTCCACCTCGCCAGATCCCCGATTCGACGAAGCGGGTGTCCTTGGACTTCTCAAGGGCAAACTCCAAGAGCTTTGCCGCATGCTGTGGCGGAAGGCCTGGGACATCGCAAACATCCGATGGTTAAAAACACAAAACAAACAATGCACTTCCAAGTCTGTCAAAAGAAGTCCTTCATCAAAAGGATTCTGATCAAAACCTTTCAACCAGCTCTCTGGAGAACATGTGAAAAAAGAAAAGTCTGATACCTTCTATACATCTCAAATATCATTACATCTGTGTCTTCATAACTCTACGCCGTTCCAGTGGCCTGTCACTGCGACGAGCGCTTCGTTTTGTACCGAAGGACCACCTTTTTGCACCTGGCTCCTCAGTGACGACCACATATCCATCCGACCGGGAAGATCGAAAGCGGACGTTCACAATCCACCGAAACATTGCTTTTGGTTCAAGGGGCGACCATCTGCATGGAAGTCTATCATAGAAATTAAGGGGGGACCATCTGGATGGACGCTGTATTACAACTCACCGACTGCCCTCGACCAAAATCTAATCTCTGAGAATCAAATTGGATTAAAGTTCACAGGGTATGTTTCTTGAAGTGCTTCACTGTCAGTCTCTATGTTTCACTTCAGATCCCCACAGAAGCCGCTCCATGGTTATTGGATCAATGCCTTCCGGGCCTGAGCCACGAAAAGACAGTCGATCCGAGAAACTTTCCCATTCGTTTCCAGGAGACAACTGAAGAAGCCATGCCATGGTATGTGAAAAGTAAGGAACTAAGCAGTAAATTGATTTTAGTGTTTATGTGAGGAAAACACCTCTTGATATGGGTAGTGGCCCTGTCATCGACCGTCTCCCCACTCCTCACCTGAAGGCGCTGCATTTTGCAGACCTTTCGCAGCTCCTGTGCCAAGCTTTCCGCATTCAATCGGATCAAGGAAAACCTAATGCAGCCTATAGGCAAACCGACCTGGCGATGATCTGTGATTGGTAGATCACTTGTCAATGTGTCAACTTGTCAACGGCTAATGCGTTTGTGTCACTCATTCACTAATAGCCGAAGTGTCTCGCATCACGACAATCAAACATGATTCGAAAAAAACGGCGCGGAGCGCTTCGGCGTAATCCGCCTGGAGGAAGCTTCTCAGCGACCTGCAGCCATGAAGATTTCGTAAAGTTCCCTCATGACACATGTCGTGGCGTCGTTGCTGTGCTAACTGTTCTCAGAATGTGCACTGTGTAGTTTGTTCTGTCCTATTTCAATCCGTACCCCTGCGCACAGCTGAACGCTCAGCATGAGAGCCGGGCCTCTTCGGCTCGCGCAACACACTGCTTCTTTGCCGCAGCGCCGCGCTCACCTGTCATGCCGGTGGCGCATCTTTGGGTATGAATATGCCATATAATGTTCCGCTGTACCTTCTTGTCTACAACATATGATGTTTGATCAATATTCTTTCATCCTGGAATGGCCATTCATCGCGAAAAAGCAGATATCTTTCGCGGATCTTTCGCGACCTCATCGCGAAGCATGTTCCTCAAGAGAGGTTGGTTACTTAACATGTTTTGGGTGAGTCAGAGAGTCATGTATATTTATATATAGAGATACGGTGGGCGGAAGAAGAAATCCTGCACCACTTTGATACAGCCGTCATCCAAAGCTGACAGACCAGCAGCCCCACATCCCTATTCCAGGTCGTTGGGGTATGGGGGTGGGGTCAAGTTTGGTAGGCAGAACTTTATCGGCACATTCGTGAAACTTTCGCGGATCTTTCGCGAAAAATCATTAATGATTTCCCCATTGGCTCAAACTGGCTCAGCCAGGTGATTGCACTTTGGCTGTATTTGGCGCCATCTCTGTGGCTAGATTGCTTCAAGCACAAATGCCTCTGACAACTATACACATCTGTGATCTATGACACATAATACAGGAATCCCACAAACATACGCTACACTACACATTGACATCCCAAAACAAACTGAAACCAAGTAAAGTTCTACGTAGAAGCTTTTTATCCAGTGGGCCATAAAAGGAGAACCAATATTAAAACCAGAACCTTCGATAAATCTTTCGCGAAAAACATGTACTTTCGCGAACCTCATCGCGAAGCTTTCGCGGAGGGTTTTAACAACATCTAAAAGGCTGTTTTATATTAAACTCCTTACGCTGGGTTTTCGATCATCTCCCATATGGCTCACAACTACTTTTTGGACATGCCCGGAAGGACTCGATTCGCCGTCAAACCCGGGTATAGGCCTTCCACGGCAAGTCCATACCAATCTGCCATCCGCTTGGCGCGCCGCTCTCTGCGCGCCATGGCAAAGGGCCAAGGGGTGAAAAGCGGAGCAACCGTAAACATAGAACATTGCAGTCAACAATGAAACATCTGTCCTTTATTGCCTTTTGAACGGATGACTTTTGTGACATTGAAACCCATTGAAACCCACGACACTTCCGCGCACCCATGGGGAAAAAAGGAAAAACTATAGCCAACAGTTCACATCGACATGCATGGTGAAGCGTTTCGTTTAGTCTCTCGGTCTCTCGTCTATTGTTTTTCGTCTTAGTCAGTCAGAATACAGCAGCATATGAAAACTATTTAGCGCATTTAGCACATTAGTCTTTTGTTGTCTACCAGAAAAAACGTCCAGCCAGCAATCAAGTTTTGCGTATTAGCGCTGTGCACGTCCATCCTACACACATATGATATGGCACGCAGTGAAACCTAACTATAACTCCACCATCTGCAAGAAATATAGAAAAAGCTAAATTATCCTTTTTGTAACAAATACTATTTGCTGTCCCCGAAATTTTTCGAATCAGTCTACCATGTCAACACTACCTTAAAACAACAAATAGTAGTAATAGTAGTCGGGATGCGCTTAGCAATGAAAGGTGATGAACCAAAATAAATTGGAAAGAGAAATCACATCACCAGAAACAAAACCCATGCATGCCAGATGCACCACTTGTTAACTCACAACCCTGGTACGGGAAGAAAGGAGACCGGGACCAGCGCAGCAAACCAGCCGTGCAAGGGTGGCTCAAAGAAGAAACCTACCACCCCAAAATTTAACCAAAAAGGTCGCAACGAATGAAGACCCCTTCATAAAGGAGAGTGCGGGCGGATCAAAAAGAGAAAAGGACACAACAAAGCACTAAACCCGTGGCGGAAGATCCGCCAACAAACGTTGCCCTATTCCAAGAGCAACCCTACTTGGCTGAACTCATGACCAGTAGATCCAACCAACCGATTGAAACAAATCATTGCAAGCAAATCACCGTTGCGGAAGCTTTGCTTTGTTAATCCGACACCAACACCTCCACTGTTCCTCACACCAAACATCAACTCCAACACACTGTGCCAGCAAGCTTCCTTCCGGCATCTGTCTGCTTGTTGGGAAAAACAATGCTGTTTGATGCGCCAGCAATTTC